TATAGCCCAGTTCTTCATAGACTCCTTATCCCACCCCCACAAAAAACCCCCATGAGATGGACCTACACTGCCTATCTTCATCTCAACTTTTTTGTCTTCCAAGCTCCTACCAGAATGGCTTGTTACTTTCTGCTTATAGCAGTCAAGGACTTTTCTAGCCCCAAATGCCAAACTCTAACATGTTCTTCCCACAAAGGCCTAAGAACCACAGGTCAGTTTTATTACAGCCATTGTCCCCTTTCTCCATACCACCTTCCCCATCAGTCACTGTCTCTGTGGCTGTGATACAACACCCTGTCAGCAGCAGTTTAAGGGAGGAAGTGTTCATTCGGCTCACATTCCGTCAAGGTGGGGCAGTCGGAAGGCTAGACGCTTGAGGCAGCTGGTCACCATGAGTCTTGTAGCCAAGAGGTTCCCTCTTTTCTGTGCAGCACGGGACCTACGGCTGGGAATGGCGCGGCCCACTTTTATGTGGAACCTTCAGAGGTTAAGTTTAGGTAGCAGCAACACAGGCTAATCTAGTTTAGATAATTGCTTATGGGCATGGCCATTGGCTCAATTTCTTAGGCGTTTCTAGGTCCTGGCGGGTTGACAATATAAACCATTATACCCACCACGACAAAGCACATTCTCAAACAGTGAGTCAAAACAGCAATCCACCCTTAAGCTGCTTTTGTTAGTCCCCTGCCCCTGCAGCAACGGGAAAATAAAATAACTAATAAAAGGGGTTTCTTTTTATTTCTGCGTAGTCATGGCTGTCCTGGAACTCTGTAGCGCACTCTGCCCTCAAACTCACAGAGATCGGGCTGCCTCTGCCTCCCTCCTGGGATTAAAGGCCTGCGCCACTGTCCAGAGGATAGCATCAGAGAGGCTTCCTCCAGCAGCTGATGGAAGTAGATGCAGAGACTCGCAGCCATGCATTAGACAGCCCAGCTTGGGGCATCTTGCAGAAGGGGGAGAGGAAGGGTTGTAGGAGGCGGAGGGGACAAGGGCACCATAAGAAAATCCACAGAATCAACCAACTACAGCCCATAGTGGGCAAAAAAAGAGAACAAATGCAGGAAGCCTGCGTGGGTCTGTCCTAGGCCCTCTGCATATATGTTACTGTGTGGCTTGCTTTTTTTTTTTTTTTTTTTGTGAGACTCCTAACAGTGAGAGCAGTAGCAGTCTCTGACTCTTTTGGGACCCCCTTCTTCCCACTGGGTCGACTCTTCCAGTCTTAATATGAGGGTAGGTGCCTAGTCTTCTTACCTGCCCTTTCCTGAAGGGAAATGGAGGAAAAGTGCATGGAAGGGTGGGGGGGGGGTCGCTGAGGCGGGGATGTAATCTATGAGAGGGAGATGACAACAGCTTTCTTCTCAAGGTGACTCTGGCTTTAGCCCTCTGGAGCTTTGCTGGGAGATAACGAGAGATCTTTTCCCAAAGTAAGACCCTTGTGCGGATTTCGGTAACTCCTCAGCCTGTGAGGCGTCGGCAACTCCCCCAGAGCTGGGATCGTCAGCATCTGTCCCGATAAGTGTGTTCTGAGACTCCCCTTCTGAGCTTATCAAGGCCAAAGGGACTCTACCCACTCTTTACAGATAGGGAGCCAGCACGAGTTTCTCTCTGTATGCGGCTGTAGTCATGTTTCTGGATCCTGCAAGCTTCCTCTCGCTTGGATGTCCAGTTGTCTTCCAGGGTCATTGACTTCAGAGTGCAGCTATAGAATTGCTGCTTTGATTCTTCTGGGTGGAGGAGGGGCTGGTGAATGATGGGGCCCCTGTTCTGCCATCTCCTCCCCCTCTTTGTTTTCATCGTCGACATCCTCTCCCTCCTGTCCCCTTCCTCCTCCTCCTTCCTTTTCCCCCCAGTCTTGTTATGTAGCCCCCTATGTATCTCAGCTGAAACTCACTAAGTATCTCAAACTGGCTTCAAACTTGCGGTTCTCCTGCCTTGGTTGTGTGTCCTGATGCGTGCCACTAAAGCCTGTCTTAGTTACGTTCCTTGATGTTACAAAACGCATTTCATTTCCAAGAAACTGTCTTCAAAGTACCCACGACTGAACAATCAAGCGTCTGTCACTTGCCCTTGCAACTCAAACTGGAATGGACCCACTTAGCAGTTACTGTTTTTGTCCTAACTCAACCCCAGTGATGGTTTCCCTCCAGACACCATCTCATTAGGTAGACAACAGGGACACTTCATGGTAACTCACTTTGCTTTTTTTCTTTTCAGCCTACATAGTAAATAACAAGATGACCAGTAATACAATTTGGCAGGCACTGGTGAAAGGAACAGTAAATTTGTCCACCACTGCTTTTGAATCACTGTTATAAATCTCAGTGAAGTAGAAAAGGCAAATCATATCCTAGCATCGTTAGGGAAAAACAAGTGATCTCATGGGTACCCTTAAGGCGCCTTAGGAATCTCTAGGGGCACAGTGATCATAACTTGAGAAGTTCTACTCTACATTTAAAAATATTTTCTGTTATTTTTAACTGAGTATGTGTGTGTGTGTGTGTGTGTGTGTGTGTGTGTGTGTGTTTATACTTGAGTATGTGCATATGAGTGCAGGTGCCTTGGAGGCAAGAGGTGTTCAGTCACCTGGAGCTGGAGTTACAGAGGGTTGTAGGCTGACTGATGTGGGTGCTGGGAACCGAACATGGGTCCTCTGGAACAGCAGCAAATGTTCTTATCCACTGAGCCATTTCTCCAGCCGTCTTCTGCTCTAGGTATATGTGCTAGAAAAATACCTTTATTTCTTTAAGGCATCTGTAATTAGGCTTTTATTATTTTTTTAATTTTTAATCAGACAAAGTTGGAGTTTACTAAATGCATTTTCAGCATAGATTTTTAAGCACAATGTTTAAGAGGAAGAAAGGCCATTGGGAAAAAAAGTCTCTCGAGAGACCATAGGCGTGGGCTTCTCAGAGGAGTGTTGTGATCACATGACTAGGAATTAGGCTTTTAAATAAAAAGCTTGCATTTATAGCTTAGCAGACTCACCATAATGTCACCAGCTATGCAGAGATAGTCACTCTTCAATTTGTAGTAATGTACTTAATTTTTTTTTTTTTTGAGACAAGTCCTCAGATAGCTCATGTTGGACTCAAATTGACTGTGCTGGATGGTTTTTATGTCAACTTGACACAAGCTAAAGTCATCTGAGAGGAGGGAGCCTCAAGTAAGAAAATGCCTCCATAAGCTGGAATTGCAGGCAAGCCTGAAAGGCATTTTCTTAATTAGTGATCAATGGGGGAGGGTTCAGCTCATTGTGGGTGGTATCATCCTTGGGCTGGTGGTGCCAGAGTCTGTAAGGAAGCAGGTAAGCAAGCCCTGGGGAGCAAGCATCCTCCTCCATGGCCTCTGCATCAGCTCCTGCCTCCAGGTTCCTGCCCTGTTTGAGCTCCTGTCCTGACTTCCTTTGATGATGAGCAGCAATATGAAGTGTAAGCCAATAAGCCGTTTCCTCCCCAACTTGCTTTTGGTCTTGGTGTTTCATTGCAGCAATAGAAAGCTTAACTTAAGTCATGGGCTAATATTGGAAAAGATCTTGAACTCCTGATCCTCCTGCCTCTGTCTCCCAAGTGCTGAGGTTGCAGACATATGCCATCAAATCCGGCCCTTAACTTTATGTTATAAGAAGTTATGAAACAATCCCGTTTTTAGCTTTGGAAACACTTACTATTGATTGCAGAGAAGGACTGAAAATCACGACAAGGACAACATTAAGTTTCTACTAAATACATACAGAAATTTCACATGTGTCAGAGTAAATTATATAGTAGAACAGAGGCCATTTGTGAGAGAATCTTACTTGACATCAAGGAAACGTGAGATAAACTTATGTACTAGTAGTGTTGAACAATCCCCAGGTATGGCAGATGAAGCAGAACCACTCTTAGTTTTATCCACACATAATATTTCTTCCAAAACATGTCTTATGGGGGTTGGAGAGATGGCTCAACAGTAAGCATTCTCTGTTTTCGTAGAGGACCTGGCTTTCCCAGCACTCACATGACAGTTTTCAAGTGTCTGTAATTCAGTCCCAGGGCAGGCTGGCACATGGTGCACATATACACATTCGGGCAAGACATTCAAATACGTAAAACAAAAATAATACATCCTTTTATAAGGCCCCATATTCTTAGCATCTTTGTGCTGCTCTCAAAAGTGGACTAGCATGGCCTTCTCAGAATGTTCTGCTTAGAAACCAGGACAACACACACTCTTTTGTACCTTAACTCCCTTGTTCCCAACTGTAGCAAATACGGTGCATATTAATTCAGTCTGCAGATAGCAAGGGAGAGCACACCAGGCTCGGAGTCAGTTCGGACTGTGTGCGTTGTGCAGCTGGAACCTGGGGCAAGTAAGTCAGTTGATGTTTCTGAGTCTGATGATCTTAGATGTCTCTAAGTACTGCAGGAGGTAAAGCACTCAGCACAATGCTAGGTGCATAAAGGTATTTCTTGAAGGGAAACTTTGGCTTTGGTTTGGTTCCTAAAGAATTCATGTAGATTTTCGAAGCCTGATTTCCTTTATCAGTGTCCTGATTTCACCCCCTCTCGATTTTCCTCCAACCTCTGGGTGCTCATACTCCAGTGTACAGAAGTCATTCTGAGTGTCTGCCTTCTTGTCCTATCCTTTTTATTCATTCTCAGAGCTGTTTAAATGGAGGACTGAGTATAGCGTCACGCACATGTGGAATGCCACAGTGAAATTCATCACTAGTTAAAACAATCCATACAAAGACGATCTCTGTAACTCCTTGGTTTTAATCGAGTTTACCATTCTTTTCCTTTTGTGTATCATTTGTTAAGGGATGTTACTTTTATATTGACTAGGTTATTGAGTACACACAAGCTTGTTTAGGATGTAAGAGCCTTCAAACAAATCAGAAGTGTGAATGGAATGAGAACATTTGTGGTGGTTTCTGTAGTAGATTTCTCTGTTGATGTAAGTTGGGTTAGAGAATATCACCATTGTAGGCAAATCTGACAGAGTTTTCTCTATTTCAGCCCTTTCAGTCTGGCATGGCAGACCAACCAATGAACATGCTGACACAAACATCCAGTAATGAAGATACAGTTAAGTATACCTTTCAAGTACAAATATGCATTGTGTATCTCAATAAGCAGTTTCAAAATATTGACTATAAGTTGATTCAAGTCTGGTCAGCAAAAGAGGCTTGTTGTCTTTGGAAAGGAATGAACCTTACTACAGATTAGATTTAAATGTAAGCAATGAATTAAATGATTGTTACAATTTCTCTCTCTTTTCTTCCTTCCTTCCTTCCTTCCTTCCTTTTTTTTTGAGACAGGGTTTCTCTGTGTAGCTTTGGAGCCTCTCCTGACACTTGTTTTATAGACCAGGTTGGCCTTGAGCTCCTAGAGATCTGCCTGCATGTGCCACCACTGCCTGGCTGTCAACATGTTTCTTGGCTCCGTTGATCTCTGTGTGTGTGTGGTGTGTGTATGTGTGTGCGTGTGTGCACATGTGCATGCATGCAAAAATATTATTCTCATTTAAAGCAAAGGAGACTAAATCAGAATTTAAGACCTCCCCAGGTGTTATTATTTTTGTATCACTATAGCAATGTACTTCTTGGAGGTAGATGTGTAGAGACCCACTCACTGTCTTCTGCTATTCCTATTGCCCCCCCCATACCCCTCCTCTCCAGATGGGAAAGCTAAGGAAGGGTAGGAGGCTCTGTTTCAGTGGTGTGGGATCTGCCTTTGACAGCTACCTATAATGGCCACAGGGTCCTTAAGATTGATTCTAGTCAGTCAATCTCCTGTCATCGGAATAGCTGGAAAAGATTTTCTCCCATTCTATAGTTTGTTTCTCTGCTGTCAGTCACTTCCTTTGCTGTGGAGAAGACTTCTAATTTATTGCAATCCTACCTAGCAATCTGTCTTCCACAGATCTGATATTCTGGAACTTAATTCCCAAAAGCAGTTGCATGAAATGACTTGCGATATCTTCTTCTGGAGTCTCCCAGCTGGCTGTCTGAGCTGCAGGCCTTAAAGGGACACATGCCTCTTTTACTTTATATGTCACAGACCAGCTTCCCGCTGCAAGATGTTCTCAGTGGGTTTGTATCAGATGTTTTTCACCAAGGGCAAACTGGGTCTCAAGGCTGATGCCTGCCGAGTCAGTAAAATACTACTGAGGGTTCCCAGTGATAACAAACAAACAAACCAGGAGTCACTGACTCCTACAGAAGCAAGTTCAGGGTCTTCCCAAGATAGCCCCCATTGTGCTACTCTAAGCATGATTTTGGAGAACACACTTCTTTTTTTTTTAATTATTTTATTTTTATTTTATGTGCATTGGTGTTTTGCCTGCATGTCTGTCTGTGTGAGGATGCCAGTTTCCCTGGAATTGGAGTTACAGTTGTGAGCTGCCATGTCGGTGCTGGGAATTAAACCTGGGGTCTTCTGGGAGAGCAGCCAGTGTTCTTAACCACTGAGCCACCTCTCCAGTCCCCAACACACAACTTCTTGAGAACCAGATTTCTGTGGGGATCCCACTGTTGCTGGAAGTTCATTTCAGCCCAGCACCATTTCTGACTGGGACTTCTTAGGTTCTTTCTCTCTCTGTCCATTTCTCTGCGATGTGGCTGTGTAATCAGTTTTGGGGAGCCTGCTGCTCCACTGTCTAAAGTCCCTTGAGCTTCTCCAAGCTTGCCTGGACCTTTTGGACGTCTCCAGTTGTTTTTGGTTCTGCCTGCAGGAGCAGCTGGTGGGTGCCAAGTGCTCTCGTCTGCCATCTTGGATCTGTCTAATGTCCTCCTGCGTTTCCTTAGGGTCTATTATAATGTCTCCCTTTTCATCTTTGATTTTGCTTATTTAAATCTTCTCTGTACTTTTCTTAGTTTAGCCAAAACACATATGAGATAAATAAACTAAAACATTTTTAAGTTTTTTGTCAGGCATTTCTTCAATATCATTTTCTTGGGGAACCATTGCTAGAGAGTTGCTATGTTCTTTTGAAATTGCCAGGCTACTTAAAAAAAAAACAACACATTTCTTCCAGGGTTGGTGGCACATGCCTTTAATCCCAGTGCTTGGGAGGCAGAGGCAGGAGAATCTCCATGCGTTTGAGGCCAGCCTGGTCTACAGAGTGAGTGCTAGGAGAGGCTCCAAAGCTACACAGAGAAACCCTGTCTTAAAAAAACAAAAAGAAAAACAAAGCCCCAAACTAAGCAAAACAAAACAAATCAAAACTCCCAAAAAAACCACATTTCCTTTTTGTTTGTTTGTTTGTTTGTTTGTTTTTTGAGATGGGGTTTTCTGTGCAACAGTCCTGGCTGTCTTGGAACTCATTCTGTAGATCAGGCTAGTCTCAAACCCATAGAGATCCACCTGTCTCTGCCTCCCAAGCACTGGGATTAAAGGCATGCATCAAACATTTTTAGACAGGTATGGAGGTACACATCTTTAATCTCAGTGCTTGAGAGGCAGAAGCAGGCAGATACCTGTGAGTTGGAGGCCAGAGTTCCAGGACAACCTGGGCTATACAGTGAAGCTTTGTTTCCCCCAAAAAGGGGGAGGGGAGGTAGTGAAGACTAATTTTAAAAGATTACAGCCTGGCATGGTAGCATTGCCCTCAAATCCAGCACTTGATGTGACAGAGGCAGGTTGCTCTCTGGGAGTTTGAGGTCAGCCTGGTCTACATGGCGAATTCCAAGACAGCCAGGACTGCACAGAGAAACCCTGTCCAAAACAACAACAACAACAAAAAGAACCCCCCCAAAACAAAACAAAAAATTTTCTCGAGACAAGATCTCATAATTAAGCTGGCTTCTAAATCACTAGGTAGCAGAGGCTGGCCTTGAACTCCTGTTCCTTCTGTTTTGACTTCCTGAGTGCTGGGATCACAGTTAGGTACAACCATACCTACTTTAGGTTTTCTTACTATAGATACAAGCTGAAGTAAAAAGCCATTACTGTTTTAGATTAATACCCTAGTGTTTCTTATCTTCTCTCCTTCTCCCTCTTCCTTTCCCTCTCTCCCCTCCCTTTTCTTTTCTCCTCCTACTCTCCCCCCCCCTTTTTTTTCAAGTCAGGGTTTCTCTGAGTAAGAGCTCTGAGTGTCCTGGAACTCACTCTGTGGACCAGGCTGGCCTTGATCTCACAGAGATCTGTGTGCCTCTGCCTCCCAAGTGTTGGGATTAAAGGCGTGTGCCACCAATGGGCTACCCTGGGATTTCTAATGGTACTTTATTGTCTTCAATTTATTATTAAATCTAGAAACATACCCTCTTAGAGTCTGAGCAGAGGTTGATTCAATTTATTTATAATAATAACATCAACATTTTAGTTCTTTCTGCAAAAAAATTCACTATACATTTGCATTGAATAGACAATGTGGTAATAACCAATCCTGATTTTTAAAAGCATATTCAGCGGTGTCCTTCCAAAGGATGTTATTTCTGTTTCTAATGAGAACCATTTTATTTGTTTTATCTAAGCACAATGAGAACATCCGTTGCTTAACCACTCTGGGCCATTTTGGGTTTGACTGTTTGCCCACGCAGCTGGTGAACAAATCCATCCAGAAAGGATTCTCTTTCAATATTCTCTGCGTGGGTAAGTGCCAGACATGCATTTAAATTATTGTTTCATTTGTCTCCTACTCATTTAAACTGATACCAAACAGTATGATATTGACATTAATTCAGGAACATTTCCTCATATTTATATTGTTTCCCCTCTTCTTAGCAGCCTTGCCTGGTGACACATTTTTTTGTTTGTTTGTTTGTTCGTTTGTTTGTTTTTGGAGACAGGGTTTCTCTGTGTAGTCTTTGCTGTCCTGGAACTCACTCTGTAGACCAGGCTGGCCTTGAACTCGCAGAGATCCGCCTGTGCTGAAATTAAAGTCATGTGCCACCGCTGCCTGGCTATTTTGAAATATACTTTTCATTAGCTACCCTTATCCTGCGTATGTGAAGCTATGTGTGCTTCTTTTAATAAATCTCAGTGCTACCCACAGCTTCTTGTGAGTATTCTGACCTTTCCGTTCAGGAGTGTGACCATTTAGAACCATTTACAGCATTCACCGAGGTTCAGCACACTCTTAGACCTTTGTGATGATTCGCTCATGTTTATTGCAGGAGAAACTGGTATTGGGAAATCAACACTGATCAACACACTGTTCAATACTAATCTGAAAGAGAGCAAGTCCTCCCATTTCTATTCAAAGGTTGGCCTTAAAGTGAAGACTTATGAGCTTCAGGAACGAAATATTCCATTGAAATTGACTGTTGTGAAAACAGTGGGGTATGGCGATCAAATAAACAAGGAAGCCAGGTTAGTGTTTCCTTATCGTTTTAAAATTAATTTTAATGTTAGCATAAAAGGTATTGGGTTTCCTTATGGTGTGTGTTTTTCTTTTTAAAATATAAGTAGAGATCACCCTTTCACTTTTTTTTTTTTTTTTTGAGACAGTCTTACTATATAGCCCAAACTGGCTAGGAATTCTCTGTATAGAATCAGCCTGACCTTGAACCTTCAGCTGTCTGCCTCTGCTTCCCAAGTGCTTGGATTAAAAGAATGTGCCATCAGGCATTGTATTTTAATACTTTATTTAAAATCTTTCTCATTTCAACAAGTCGCCTTCTTTTTGCTAGATTAAATTGTAATTTCCATGTAGCCCTGGCTGTCCTGGAACTCACTCTGTAGACCAGGCTGGCCTCAAACTCAGAGATTCACCTGCCTCTGCCTTCTGAATGCTGGGGTTAAAGGCGTGTGCTACTACTACCTGGCAAAAATATCTTAAAACTTTTATTTTTACCATTTTAATTGTGTGTGCAAGTGTGTATGTATGTGAGTGTGTATGTGTTTGAATATGTGTGTGCGTGTCTGTGTATGTGTGTATATCAGGTGCCTGTAGTTACTAGAGACATTGGAGCCCCTTACAGCTGCAGTTAGAGGAGGTTGTGTGTCATTTGATGGATGCCAGGAACCGAACTAGGGTCCTGTGGAACATCAGTATGTGCTCTTAACCACCGAGCCATTTCTTCAGCCCTAAATTATAATATTCTTCTATGGTAATTTATGTCTTTCCTTCTAGCTTTTAACTCTTTCCTCATGGAGTAATAGTCTTATGAAACTGATGTTTTATATACCTAGTATAGTTGTCTTATTTAAAATGTTTTATTTTATGTGAATGGGTGCTTTGACTATATATATATATATATATATATATATATATATATATATTACGCACATGCCTGGTGTTCATGGAGGCAGGAAGACAGTGTTAGATTCTCTGAAACTGGAGTATCAGAGGCTGCCATGTGGGTGATGGGAATCAAACCTGGGTCATCTGGAAGAATGGCTAATGGTCTTAGCTTCCAGCTTGGCCCTCTTCAACTCTGTATTTAATAGTCTCATGTGAGCAGCATAAAATTAGCCAGGATGGGACTATTCATACCACCGAAACCAGCAAGCTCTCTTTCCCTCTCTTTCTCTCATTTTCTCTCTCTCCCCTCCCTTCCTTCATTCCTTCTTCCTTCCTTTCTTTCTTCCTTTCTTCCTTCCTTTCTTTCTTTCTTTCTTTCTTTCTTTCTTTCTTTCTTTCTTTCGGGTTTCTTTGTGTAACCCTGGCTCTCTTGCAACTCACTCTGTAGACCAGGTGTGTATCGCCATCACCCAGCAAAATGAACCAATTTTAGCAAACTGTTTTTTTTTTTTTTTTGCACACAATGTTGACTAAATAGTAAGACACCAGATTCAGATTTTATTAATCTGTTGGTGCTAAATGTTTCCATAATAACATCTTTTCAGCTACCAGCCAGTAGTTGACTACTTGGACGCTCAGTTTGAGGCGTATCTCCAGGAGGAGCTGAAGATTAAGCGCTCCTTGGTTGACTATCATGATTCCCGTATCCATGTGTGCCTTTACTTCATCGCACCTACAGGACATTCCCTCAAGTCCCTGGACCTGCTGACGATGAAGAACATCGACAGAAGGGTGTGTTTTGTCACCCCCTTAAACTTTCAAGGTTCAATGAGTACTCTGAGATGATGACAAATTGTGAAGCATTTATATGCAACTGCCTGCTGTTTTAGAATATGTGTGCATATTTAAATATTTTTTTCCTGTTGCTCTTCAAAGCAGCTGAATGAATTTTCCAGAGCATTCCTAAATGCCATAGAGTGGATGGATTAAATAATAAAAAGAATTTTTTCACATAGTCCTGGAAGCTAGAAAATCAAGGTGCTAGCATTTATTATAGTGTAGTGTTCTGCCTGCATATATGCCTGTAGGCCAGAAGAGGGCGCCAGATCTCATTAAGATAGTTGTGAACTAAATAGGTGTGTGTGTGTGTGTGTATATATATATATATATATATGTATAAACATATATACATATGTGTGCCTATATCTCACAAGTTTAGATTAAATTTTGTTCATTTGATTAAATTTTATAGTCATTTATTAGTCTCCCCCTCTGTCTTAGCATGAATGTTTGGAAAAACATGGGATTTTCCCAAGTATTTGAAAAATGTGCCTTGAGGATTCTAAAATAAACGCAACTGACATAAAGTTGATATGTATTCATATGTAATATGGCATGCCATATTACAGGCTTAAATATGCTATGAATCGGGTAGGGCAAGGTCGAATGAAAGAGGGACATTGGTTAATATGCACTTATGCAGAATCAGTTTCATGAATGACGGCTAGGAGAAAAACTCTCTTTCCCAACATTTTGATGAGAGGTCTTTTCGTCATTCAGTTTGATAAGTAAGCGGTCGACTGGATCCTACTGCTTAAATTATGCTAATTCCAGCATGAGATTTGAGAAAAGAAACAACGTCAAGGCTTCTAAACCCGAGTTCTGATAAACGATGAGGGTTCAAGATGGAGCTCAGTGCACAGCATTCATCCGGACCATTCAAGGCTTGAGGTTTTAATCCTCAGCACTCCCCAAACAAGAATTTCTCTGTGGCTAAGCACGCCTGTGGGTAACCCCAGCACTCTTCACCGAACGCCCGCAAAGGTTCTGTTGTAGCGGCAGCAACAACAAACCACGCGCACATTCTTTTCCAGGCGTAGGCGTTAGACTGAAAAATAGTGAAATTTGGCCTCTTCCCTTCTAACAGGTGAACATCATACCACTGATTGCCAAAGCCGACTCACTTTCCAAGAGCGACCTCCAGAGGTTCAAGAGTAACATCATGGGTGAGCTGGTCAGCAATGGCATCCAGATATATCAATTCCCGATGGATGATGAAGACACTGCTCAAGTAAACGCCTCAATAAATGTAAGATTCCTCTACTGACCATAAAGTTCCTTTCCCAGGGGAGACTGAAGTATACTTTGTAACATTATCTGCACTTTATTGACACAATAAACAATACATTTTCCTCAAAATACATTGTGAGGGAAATATTTCATCCCCCCCCTCCTCTCTCCCTCTCTCCTCCTCCCCTCCCACTCCTTTCCTTCCATCCTTTCGGTCTTGGCAGGGTTTCATGTGGTCCAGGCTGGCCTTGAATTTATTACATAGGTGAGGCTGATACAACCTAATTCCATCTCCTGAGTCCTAGGATTACTGATAGGTGCTACCGGGCCTGGTTTAGGCAGAGCTGGGGTTCAAACCCAGGACTTGGTGCATGCAAGGCATCACTGTCTCAACAAAACTATAAGCCCAGCTATTTAATTTCTTGATGTTTGAAACATGTTTACTGTTTTGGGTCTGAGGCTCCAGAGCAATCCAATCAGACACAAGAGGTGCAAGATTTTGTCGGATTGGGCAGCATGGCAGAAACGGACAGGTCAGGGACAATAGTACACCTGTGCCGAGTTAGATTACATTTTTCACCAATCAGGATTCAAAGATTAGGGACTTCCCAGGAACATTTTCTGTAGTAAACTTATCTTATTCGCATTGGTTGGTTCACTCAAGTGGAGCAGGGTGGCTTGCCTGTCATTCAAGTCTCACCTTGCCAACCAGATGTCATCTACCAAGGGAGGTCTGGGATGGTCTTAAACTTTACTTACTCAAGACTGAAGTTTTATTCAAAATGTCTTCAGTTTGATTCCTTCTTACATACTGAGATTCAAATTCTTTTCTTTAAAGAGCTTTATTAAGATTTTTTTTTAAATTAAGCTGGGCATGGGGTCACACAGGTTTAATCCTAGCATTTGGGAGGCAGAGACAGGTGGATTTCTGAATCCGAGGCCAGCCAGGGATGCATAATGACTCTTGTGTCAACAAAATAAAACAATCAAAAGTAAACTGATTTAGTATTCATTTCTATTAGACTAAGATGTACACACCACATAATCACTTAAATTCAGTGTTTTTAATGTATTCGCAGATACATGCACTTAGTTGACAGCTGTACAACAGTTTCATCTCTTCAAAAATATACCCTAGCCAGATTATAGGTGGTACTTGTAATCCTAGTATTTGCAAGATGGTTCTGGAAGATCAGGAGTTCAGGTTCATCCTCAGCTCCATAGTGAGTTCAAGGATAGATGATGACTCAAAAAAGGAACCACAACAGCTTAAAGGCTCATATCCTTGTTTACCTCTCGCTCTGCCTACCTCTCAGGTTCTGAACAATTGCTATCTTATATCTATTTTTAAAGTATTTATTTTTTGAGATCACAATATAATTACACAGTTTCCCCATTTCCTTTCCTCCCTTCAAACCCTCCTTGCTATTTTTCTAGTTCATGGCCCATTTCTTCATTGTTGCTTTTTCATACATATTCATACACATAGATGCCATATACAGATATGTATATATTCTATATGCATACAGCTTGTGTATTTGCTTTCAGGGGCTGACCATTTGGTGTTGGAGAAACAGTTGGTGTGCTCATCCCTGGGCAAGGCTTCCTCCTGCTCTCAGGACGCATTAGTTGCCCGGAGGTCTTTGTGTAGGGTTGAGGCCTCCTGGGGTTCCCACCCCACACTAGTATATCTACTGTGCTCCTTGTTCACCTCATGTTCAGGCATTCATGTTGGTGAGACTTTCTGGGTGTAGCTTCTGACCTTCCTAAGAGACACAGTCTTAGGGCAAAGTCCTCAATTCTCTGGCTTTTCCAATCATCCTGATACTCCTACAGTGGTCCCTGAACCTTAGGCTTGAGAGTTGCATTGTAAGTGTATCTGTTGGGACCAGACTCCATAATTCTGCATTCTTTTCTTTTTGGTTGTAATTGTCTGTAATGGTCTCTGTTGCAAAGAGAAGTTTCTTGATGAGGGGTAGGGACTATACTTATTTGTGGGTCTAAGGACAAGTATTTAAACCATAGTGTAGGGATTATGCTGGTTTAGTAAAGTGGTGGTTGTAGGTTCTCCTCCAGGATCCACAGCTTCACTGGCCCTGTGTAGTTGGCTGTGATTCTGTTACCAGGCATGATTTCCCTGTTGTTAATTGGATCTTATGTCCAATTAGAGAACTGTTGGTTACTGCCAAGGTGTGTGCGCCACTATTGCACTCTTAGAGTTATTGTTCCATGCTGTTTATTACTGTGGTTCATAGACATCATAGGCAGAACTGTTGGTTACCTCTCTCCTTTGGAGGCTTGAAAGGCATCTTCTGGAACCATAAAAGCTAGTCTTCAGGAAGAGGTTTTTAGGCCAGTCCCAGCACATGGAACTCTGGACCTGACGTCTGAAGTGCGTGGTGTCTTCAGCCATAAAGACTTTTTCTTCCACCTCTTTTGGCTAGCCAAAGACAACAGCAATCACCTGTAATGTTTTGGGAGTTGCTTGGACAGCCTTTACCAACATCTCAAAAGAAGGCTTCTCATGCCTGGTGTTGAGTTTTTTGTTAGATGGTCTTTTTTGTCTTGGAGGGAGCATTGTCAGCCCAGATGGGAAATACCATTTAAGCCAGATCTATAAATTTATGCACCAATTTAAGTATATTATAGGCATTTTTTATTATGTGGTTTCCTCTTTTAGTATCTCATGTAATGAACCACATGTAATCTTTTTTATTTGTTGGCTTCAGTTGGGATAATGTTTTAAAGATTTACAATATTGTACAAGTACTTATACTGTGTGTGTGTGTGTGTGTGTGTGCCTAGATACCATTGTGTAAATATACTATATTTGGGTTTATTCACATTTTGGCTATTATGAAGAATGTTATTATAAACATTTATGTACAAGTGTTTGCGATGGTATATACTTTAATTTCTCCTGGGTAAGTATATCTAGAAGTAGAATTCTTAGATCATGTGACAACTACATCTAATCCTTTGAAGACCTGTTGTATTGATTCCAAAAGTACCTGCCCTAGGAGTTTTGATTTAATTTCTTTGTCTTAATTCATACTATATAATGTTAAAAAATAAGTCTGGCTACATTACTTAGTATGAGAGGATCCCACTGTATTTTTGATTTGCATTTTGGATGACTCCAGATGTGGAATGTCTTTTCATTGGTGTGTGCATATTTTTATGTCTTCCTGGAGAGAAGCAAATATTTGGATTCTTTGTTCATTTTAGATGGACAATTTGCCTTTTTCTTGTAAGTTACAAGGGTTCCTTGGATTCTCTTCTTCCATTTCACTCTATTCCCTGCTATGCTCTGAAGTAGCCTAAATCAGTCCACCCATCTGTCTTTATATAGTCATTATTCAGTCTTGCTTACAGCCCCTAACTTAGCCACCTCTCCAGACTCCAGCCAGCACTCTGATACATTTCAACTGATTGCTTTTTTGCAGTAGTGTGGATTGAACCCTGAGCGTTACACACGCAAGGAAGCAACTGACGACTCAGCTTCATCCCCAGCCTGAGACTGAATTTTCTTTGTTGTTGTTGTTCTTTTGAAAGATAGCTTTTCTCTGTGTACCCCTGGCTGTCCTGGAACTAGCTTTGTAGAAGGGGCCAGCCTCTTCTACAGACTCAGAGATCCACCTGCCTCTGCCTCCTGGGTGCTGGGATTAAAGGCTGTGTCACCACCACCACCTGGCTCATGCCTGGCCCTTCATATGGGATCAGACTCAGGTCCTCATATTCACATAGCAAGCACTTTATTGCTACAGGTATCACCTTAGCCCTCCTGAGGGCACACATAACATTGTTTATTAGCATATTTTATGTGGTGTATACATAAGTAATTATAATTTTATTTATTGGTATTATTATTTCTTTGAGACAGGATCTCACTATTTAGCCCTGGCAGCCTTGTAACTCACTCTGTAGACCAGTCTGGCCTCAAACTCAGAGAGATCCACCTGTTTCTGCCTCCTGAATGCTGGGATTAAAGGCGGGTGCCATTATGCCCATCTTAGTTTGTATTTTTAATTGTTTCATCTGTTAACTTACATACTATCGTTACAATAGTCTTCATATGAACTCAGCAATATTATCTTTGTGTTTAATTTAAAGGCAATGTCAGAAAATTATGCGTATTAACAATCATTTTTATCTTTGTACTGCACGCATCATGATGCCTTGCTTTAGGGAAGGCAATGCTACTAGGTAGGTAGTTTTTAATTATATGTCAGCCTGAGAGATGAATGTTTATAAAAATAATTAGCACGCGTTTCCTGCTAGGTACAAAAATCTGACATGATAGATTATGTGTGTGGTCTAATATGTTATTCTAGCCCCACCTTTGTCCCTTCTGTCTCAGAAAAAGAGCAACATAGTAAGGCGTTGCATTTGAAGGGAATCTAACCTGTATCATTTTTATTTGTTTAGGGGATGTTACCTTTTGCAGTGGTAGGAAGTATGGAGGAGGTGAAAGTTGGGAAAAGGATGGTCAGAGGCCGTCATTACCCTTGGGGAGTTTTGCAAGGTAAGTGTGAGATTGTGTTTCCTGGTGATTAAATGCAGTATATACTGTGTCATCTAAAATAGCATTTTGACCTAAGCCAGTGCTGATAACTCTAGATTAGTAGCTGCTAATGAGGAATGCAGAGTCGATTTCAAGCTTTTACTTATAGTGACTATGATCCCTTCTTATGGGACAGTGGTTCTGAACTTTCCTAATGCTGCGACCCTTTAATTCCTCACGTCGCAGTGACTCCCAACCATAAAACTATTTCGCTGTTGTGTCAGAACTCTAATGTTGCTACTGTGATGGATCGAAGTGTGAATATCTGACATGCAGGATAACCAAGATGAGACTCCGGAGGGGGTTGTGGTGGACAGGCTGAGGATCATTATAGGACTTTGCCAGAAACTGACTTAGACCCACACCTACAAAGTCTCCTTGTTTAACCAATGTGCCACATGCACACGGTCTCTGTCTTCCTGAAATTCGCCATTCAGAATGCTGGGGCTTACCTTGACAAAACTGAAGAATAAGGATTAGTGCCTTCAAGAAAAGATTAGTGCCTACCACCTAGATCCACCTGCCAGGAATGACACTGCCCACAGTGGGCGGGGCTCTTCTACATCAATGAGTAATCAAGAAAATTCCCTACAGACACGCCCACAGACCAATCTGACTGGAGGCAAAACCTCCATTCAGGTTCCCTCTTTCCTGGATTGTCAGGCTGAAACCAAGATCAGGTATCACTCAGGCTAAATCAATAGGAGAAATAATCGGTGAGCTCAAAGTTTTTGTTTTTTTAAATATGTGTGTGTGTGTGTGTGTGTGTGTGTGTGTGAGAGAGAGAGAGAGAGAGAGAGAGAGAGAGAGAGAGAGAGCAACCAAACTGATAGAAAGCTTATTTACCAAATAACAGCAGAAGCCCTCCATGATGGATCTACTGTGATTTTTTTTTTTTTTTTTGGTGGCTAGTGGAAAATGAGAGTCACTGTGACTTTGTGAAGCTCCGAGATTTGCTTCTGTGTACTAATATGGAAGATTTGAAAGATCAAACCCACACTCAGCATTATGAATGCTACAGGAGCAACAGACTGCAGAAACTAGGCTTCAATGACACGGGCCCGGACAATCAGCCAGTGAGGTGAGTGAAGACATTGCTATTGGGCTTGAGAGGTGGCTCAGTGGTTAGTTGGGAGTGCTTGCTGCTCTTGCAGAGGACCTGGGTTCAATCCCCAGCATCCCACGATGCCCTCTTCTGGCTTCTGTGGGCACCTGGCTACATTGACATGCATGCAGATAAACACTCAAGCACATAAATTTAAAAGTAAAGAGATTATAAAAGAAATTGCTCTTACATATAAATTGATCCTTTAGGATGCCCTTAAAACTACAAGGCGTGCACAGTCAAGCATGAGGCTATGGCTCACTGTGAACTTTTAGGTTTTTAAGAGTTTTGGATGTAGATGGAGAGAGACAATAGAGGCAACATCATGACAGGGTTCTTATATGCTAATGTGCCCAATATTTCATGCTTTGAACTGTGAACTCCAGGGACAACATTATGTTTTAAAAACATTTATATTTATGCAAAACACAGGCTCATAGAGCAATGGCATTTATTAATAAAACTGACAAGGGTTTTGAGGAGAGCTTGCTGGAAAATATCTAAAAGCAATTATATAAAGTACTGGAAGGCATGTGGGAAGCCTACAAACAGAGCATTTACATCACAATAATAACATTTTGGCTATAAAAGCATGGACAGTACTGTTGGAATATGTTCGTGTTGTAGCAGTCATGGTTTTCTAGAGACAACCAAAATTGAACCATCTTTGTATGTGTATGTGGGCATGCATGCTGTGAGACAGATTTTTTTCCTGGAGACACGCAGCACATACACATATGTACACACACACACACACACACACTCATATATACACCAACTCGCTCCAGAAAGGAAGCCCAAGTGAAGGGTGTTAGCCACTGGGGGCCAGAAGTCCATGTTGAAGTTCTTCCTAACCACTCCCTGTCTTACTTTGGAGACAGGGTCTCCCATTAACCACGGAGCCGCAGGAGTCCTCCGGAATCTGTTTCCCCAGCCCTGGGATTGTAGGTGTGAACTGCTGTACCCAGCTTTGATTTCTTTCATTTGGGCTCCGAGGACCCAAACTCAGGTCCTCGTTTGTGTGTGTGTGTGTGTGTGTGTGGTGGCAGCTACTTTACCAACTGCGCCTGTGGTTCCCAACCTTGGTAATGCTAGGATCCTTTAGTACAGCTCCTTAGGGTGTGGTGATCTGCAACCATAGAATTATATCATGGCCACTTCATAACTGTGATTTTCTATTGTTATGAATCATATGTAAATATATGACATGTTGGCTATCTGACATGTGACCTCCTTGGGGGGGGTCACAACCCACAAGTTAAGAACCACTGTACTGACCATCTCCTCAATCCTGAACTATTCTAAGCGAATCATATTTTAAAGGATGTCTTACTTGCTTTATTTGAGTTATTTTGCAAACAGTCTCATACATTAGTTTTCCCAAGACTCTGTTGTTCAAAGATAGGACAACTGGATGTGGTGGCACATTCCTTTAATCCCAGCACTTGGGAGGTAGAGGCTGGTGAAACCCTGTAAATTGGAGAACAGTTTTTTCCACATAGCAAGTTTCATGGTAGCCAGAGCTATGGAGTGAGAACCTGTTTCGAAAACAAACAAACAAACCAAACCAACAACAACAACAACAAAAAAAAAAAAAACCCAGGGAAATAAAATATCAACTATGGGAGCAAGAAATCACTGACAGAGGTATTTGGAATTTTAGTGGTCATATACTCATATAATTAATATGTTTCAATTTTTACACTTCATCATATAGGAATGTGTTCTGTTGCTACACGGAATATTGGTGAACATCACTTTATAAATATACATATACATATATTATATAAAATATACATATATATTTTATATGTCAATCCACATTAGCACTTAAAATAATTTTTAAAAATTTACATTTGTTTATTTTGTGTGTATGCACTATGCAGAGGTCAGAAGACAACTTGCAGGAGATGGATTTCTCCTACCCCTTGGGTCCTGGGGATTAACTCAGGTGTGTCTGCATCATGGCAAGAACCCTTCCCAGCCGAGCCATCTCACTGGCCCTTTATTAGCAGTTTCAGTATAAGAATAACGAACTTTCGCTTTTAGTTTCCAAGAGATGTATGAAACCAAAAGACAAGAGTTCCTTGGTCAGTGTCAGAGGGAGGAGGAAGAGCTGAAGCAGACGTTCATGCAGCGAGTCAAGGAGAAGGAACTGACCTTCAAGGATGCTGAAAAGGAGGTACCAACCCCATGCCCATTCTCCGAGTCCTATTCTCTGGGGGAAGAACTCCAGCACATTATTATACTGGAAGGAACTTTCCATCTCTCTAAAAGTAGCTATTCATAAACAGGATTCTTTTTAAATTTATTAATTTATTTTTTTATATTCCAATCCCAGTTCCCCCTCCCTCCTCTCCTCCTGATCCCTCACTCCCCCCCACTCCCCCTACACGCCACCTCCCATCTGCTCCTCGGAGAGGGTAAGGCCTCCCCCAGGAAGTCTACTAAGTCTGTCCCATCATCTCATTGAGGCAGGACCAAGGCACCTCTCCACCCCCACACCTCTGTGTCTAGGCTGAGCAAGGTATCTCTCCATATAGAATGGGCTCCACTAAGTCAGTTTGTGCATTAGAGTTAGATTTTGGACCCCTGCCAGTGGCATTTGTGAAATTATATGGTATTTTCCCCCTTAGCATTTTGAGAATTTGTCTTTTAAATGCACCATGTCTCTGACATAATCAGACAGGGACCTCCCTCTCAGTTCACCCAGTGCCTCTTCAGCTTACAGCTCTCCCAGCATGGAGTTGAGTGCTGAGAGCCCTACAGGGGATCTTGGGAGTTACCCCATCTCCATAGTTCAACTAGGGATTGTTCTAAGTGAAAGTCCATCTACAACAGCCACGATCCTGTGACAGGGCCCCCAGCTGTATATGGTATCATTTGAAATCAATGTGGTGAGTTCTTGGCCTCACAGCTTTTGCCTTGAGCATGCCTATAGAATTAGTGTCATGCCATAGAACCCAAGATTTATAATTTGTACCTTCTAGAGCATCAGATGCAGCCAACCTGCTCCCACTTAGTATTGGCTGGTGTTTCTAAGGTGTGAGTCCTGAGGTTCCTGGGACACCTGTCCAGGTAGCTTGCCTTGAAGACCTCCCAAACCCCTCAAGGCCATTCTCCATTGTATTCATGAATATAACCGATTTCTAACCATTTTAATCTCTTTAGCAAAGGGTTGCCTGGACATATCCTGGGCATTCTTTTGAAAACTTCTTTATATTGTAATTTCAGTTTTCATTAATTTTATTATTTCTGCTTATGAATTCAGTCTTTAGTTTTGTTTTTTTGAGATAGGGTTTCTCTGTGTAACAGCCATTGCCATCCTCGAACTCACTCTGAAGACCAGGCTGACCTCAAACTCACAGAGATCTGCCTGCCTCTACCTTTCAAATGCTGGGATCAATGACTTGTGGCATCACAGTCTGGCCTTAATCTTTAGTTTCTGTTCTCTCTCTCCTTTTTTTTTGTTTTGTTTTGAGACAGGGTTTCTCTGTGTAATAGCCTGCCTGTCCTGGAACTCATTTTGTAGACCAGCCTGGCCTCAAACTCATACAAATCTGCCTGCCTCTGCTTCCTGGCTTCTGGGATTAAAGGCATGTGCCACCACCATCTGGCCCTTAACCTCTTTCAAGGGGCTTTCATCTTCCTTGTGGAAGTCCAAGGATTTTAAATAAGTGTTTCTGGGGCCATACTCTGCTTCCTTTTCTTTTTATAGCTGCAGGACAAGTTTGAACATCTGAAGAGAATCCAACAAGAGGAGATTCTGAAACTGGAAGAAGAGAGAAGAAAACTAGAGGAGCAAATCATAGATTTTTACAAAACAAAGGCTGCCTCTGAGACATCACAGGTTCAGGTGTGCACCAATGTAAAAAAGGACAAAGATCGTAAGAAATGATCTCTCTTTACCATTCCGGCTCACTTAGGGCCCCATTATCCTCCACTCATATACCTGTGAGCTTGTCTTCATAGCACTTAACTTCATCTGGAATTGTAATGTTTTCAAAAGTTATTTAGCGTGTGTCATTCTCCACTAGAGTGTCAAATACCAGGGAGAAAGATACTTTGTGTATTGTGTTGGTGTTACAACACAGAGTAGCACTTGGTAGTACCCAGTAAATATTTTATTAATCAAAATAGCCGAGAAGTATATAGATAGTATAGACAGCTATTATTAGACATTGGGCATTCCTTTACCATATATGTGCCTTAGACTCCAGTAGTGATTTTTACAGTTTTTGTCTTCTTAGATTTTTTACTTTGTATGTACTTACCTGCTTTACTTCCTCCCCCACCCCTTTCTTTCTCTTTTTTCAAGACAGGTTCTCACTATGTAGCCCTAGCTGTCCTGAAACTCTTTGTGAGATGATCGGTCTGGCCTTGAACAGCGATCCTCCTGCTTCAGCCTCCCGAGTTCTGGGATTATAAACGTAAACCACCATGCCTAGCTCTATTGAATTTTTCTTGAGGATGCCTGGGCATAAAGTATTGTTATAAAAGGTAATCATTGGTTATTCCTTTACCAGATTCTATTGATAGCAATTCTTGATAACTTTAATTGTAATGAAACATCATGTTTTGATTAGAACTCCTCTATGCTTTGGCGTCATATTTGTAGAAGTATAAAAGATTCAAAATCCAGACAGCAACAAACTATAGTGATAATATTGTCTTAAGGATTTTGGCTTTATGCTAAAAAGCTATCAATGTGTACAGTATGGGGTATGCTTTTTTTCCTTCTGTTTTAAAAAACTACCTTCCGATTTTATAGAGTGAGGACTTTTTAAAATTTAAAATGTTTTTATCGGTTACTTATTTGATGTTTTGGTTGTGAGCCTACCCTTTAATGGCTGAACCATCTCTACAGCCCCAATTCCTGATTTGAATGTGGTTGACCTTCATCATGGCTCATTCTACTACAATGCAACCTTTGAGGGACTTTGTCTCTGGGTACTTCGACTACATTTGGATCAATTCCTTTTTAATAGTCCCAAGAAAAGTACAGTTTTAATGAAATTTTAATGTTGCCTCAATTTCAAATGCAACATTTAAGGCTAGCGCTATATATGCTCAAAATACTTTATAATTTATACTTACACTCTCTTCATGGACAAGTTTTATGTGAAAAGTGATAAGAAAGAGAAACAAATCCACAATTCATTTCATATATGTTGGTAAGTAAGTCATCTTACAAATGGGATAAGAAAGAAATATAATACATAGATAATGTAGTGGCAACTGTATAAGAACAAAGATCTTTGTTCTGATCACTTATATATTCATTCCTAGGCTTAGAACAATTCTTTTCTTTTCTTTTTTCTTTTTCTTTTTTCTTTTTTTCTGTTCTTTTCTTTTCTTTCTTTCTTTCTTTCTTTTTCTTTTTTTTTTTTGAGGCAGGGTTTCTCTGTGTAGCTTTATAGACCAGGCTGGCCTTGAACTCACAGAGATCCGTCCGCCTCTGCCTCTCGAGTGCTGGGACTAAAGGCATGCACCACCACTGCCAAACTCTTAGGACAATTCTTTTTTTCTCCCTTCCTTTTAGGACAATTCTTAAAGCACAGTGGATACTATTAGTTGAATAAATAATTTTCCGTGTGTTAGCCGAATTATATGCCTGGATAGTTTAACTTAGACAATTGACTTCTTTATTTTTTTGAGAAAGGGTTTCTCTGTGTATCTCTAGCTGTCCTAGAACTCACTCTGTAGATCAAGCTAGCCTTGAATTCCACATGCCTCTGCCTCCTGAGTGCTGGGGTAGTGCACCACCACTAGTGAGCTAGATAATTGACTTTCAAACATAAAACAGTATATTATTGCTTTTCAGCATGGCTGTGAGTTATATTGATGAAATGCTTTTATATTGTCATTCTTTAGTCTTAATGCAGTGTTTCTAAAATTGGAACCAGCAATGTTATATAACAAAAACCAATAAAATCCATGTTGCTTGTTAGTGATTTTTTTACCCCTTTATTTTACCCCTTTTACTACGTTATAGTAGTAACTTAATGAGAAATCCCTATTTTAACTCATGGTTCTAGGGGGTCCAGTCTCTTTCTGTTGGGAAGGAATGCAGGACAGCTCAGTTTACAGCATGGTGGGTTGGGATAGGGATCAAGACAGAAAGTGGTTAAGATATATTCCCAGTGGTCAACTTCTTCCAGATGTCTCGCATTTCCTAAAGCTGGCTTGGTCTCCCCAGATAATATCACTGAGTCTCAAACATTGAAAACATGAACATAGCAGGGAATTTTCATATTCAAGCCACAGCATTTTGTCAGTGGACCAAAATGGTATGGCTATCTATCTTATAATACAAGATGGCTTTACTCTATTTACAAATGTCCCCAAGCTGGATCAGTTCTCACATTTTCCCAAAGTCCCTTGTGATCCCTTGTAAAATAAAACAAATAAAAAACTAGTTTCGAATATCCAAGATAAGATACCAGAGGTCAAACCTCTTTAAAGAGAGGAGTTGGGAGCATAGAAAGAAGGGATTGGTCCAAACCAAGACTGAAACCCAGCAGGACAAGCTCCATGTTCTGATCTGGGGCACATGTTGATATCATCTGAACTTCAATAGATGTGGGCATCCTCACCTCTGTGACCTTGCCACATGGCCTCTCTCTTAGGCTGGCTTTGTTTATTCCCTGAATCTTTGCTCAGAAAGTACTTTTTGTTCCCTGCATCTCCATCACTGATGTTTTGAAGCTCTAGCCCACCCCCTTTTTGTGTGACAGGGTCTCATGATGTATCCCTACATGACCAGAGACTTGGTATGTATACCAGGTTAGCCTCAAAAGTAGAGGTCTACCTGGCTCTGTGTCCCAAGTTGCTTTGGTCATGGTGTTAATCACAGCAATATTAATCCTAAGACCATAGTCAAACTGGTAAGATCCAAATATTAACTGAAAATAAAGAAAAAAGGAAGAAGCAAAACTAATATATGTATAGGAAAGTATGGCCTTTGTTACAGAAATGTATAATCAAGAGTAGGAATTAAAAAATGAAGTCAGTGTGGTGATGTGTGCCTCTAACACCAGTACTGTTGGGAGGCAGAGACCAGCCTGATCTACAGAGTGAGTTCCACAACATCCAGGGAAACACAGAGAAATCCTGGCTTGAAAATCAATCAATCACACAAAAAAGAAATTACATCTTTTAATTCAAAGAAAAAGAATGCCATTATAGGATTCTGTATTTAAAAAAAAAAAAAAAGATTCTGTATTCATCAGAGTATTCTTTCCAGAACAAAATGGAAATTATGTTAGCATGCCAGTTTCTTATCACAAGGCCAGAAATGAAAATTATAATTTGTAAATAACATATTGAATAGGGATTTTAACAACTATAAGGGAATGCAAAAACATACAGAAGTTGGTCAAAATACATCGTACGAAATTCTGAAGACAATTTCCAAAAATATTTAAAAATAAAACAAATAATAAAATAAAAATCTGTGCAACAAAGACCAGTCATGTTTGTCCTTACTCAGCCTGAAAGTGGTAATCAATTAATTAAGGCTCTAGGGAGCCCGGAAGAGTTCTCCATTCAGGTCCACCAGGCTGAGAACTGCCCCTGAGATGGGCTTCAGCCTTGGCGGGCTTTGTACAGGGCGCCTCCAAGGTGGAGTCTGTTTCCAGTCTGCATCCCCTGGTCTCGCTATAGCTGGTCAGCCTGTGATCTCATCACTTGGACACAGGAGGACTCCTAGACACCTCGGAACCTGGGCACTCCGGAACGGGTCTCCAGAACGGGAACCCGGAGACCCCGGAACGGCACACTGCGGAACCCGGGAACCCGGACACCCCGGAACGGGACACCGCGGAAACAATTCGTTCCGGAATCCGGACATGGTGAGTTGGGGCCCAGCCTCCTCGTAACCAGGGCTGCGCGGTGGCTGCAGCCATTCGGGATCAGCGGGTGTGTCGCAGGTCGGATTCCTTCTGGGGCGGCTCTGTCGGCTCACGGCGAGGGCATAGGCCTGGCAGCCCGGTGACGGGATGTTGGGGACACCCCGACTCCCTTTGTGCGGGTCCTGCCTGACAGCTCTGGGCTGGGGTCCTCCAGCCCCGTTCTGAGCATCCTGATTAATGGGCAGCATCCATCCAGGACAGTAAAGTCCTAAGAATTTCCCATGCCAGCTTCCTGTCTTTACATTAAACGTTCTACGCGTAGATTTCAATCAGATTCTGTGATTTTTTTTTTATCCCCCCGCCCCTCCGCATGCACATCGAGTGGCAAATTTGAAAGGCCTTGTTTTGTGATCGTTAAAGTTGCGCCAGAGCTGAAAGCACAGGATGGTTACTCATCTTCCCTAGGCACAAACACTTACTTTATCATGGTGTCTTTGGGTTGAGTTTCCCCCTGGCTGACTTCCAGGGGCGGTGTGTTGTCATTTCATCCTCCAACCTTATTGATTGAGTGATTGATTGATTGGTACTGGATTTCACTACTTCCTGACATCCAGTGCTGATACTAGGTGCCCCCAGCTGCCCTGCCTCAGGATAGGAGTTGTAAAGAGGTGTTGCTAGATTCTGTCCTAGTGTGAATCTGTGAGCATGCAGCCTTGAAGGGAAATGGCTGGTTGCTAAGGAGGATGGGGAGACCGTTGGTATATTTATATAAATACTCTGTGTTCACACATATTGGCTATTGTGGTATAACTGTCCTCATCCTGGTATATAAAAAATTTCTGGTAGTCGATTTGTCATCTCCAGTACTTACCGAGGATTACCCCACACCCTCCCCCTGTGTTTATGCCCCTCCCTTTTTCTAGTGGCAGACATCAATTCATGTACAGGCTGGACCGGAAGTTTCTTTGTTTTGTTAATGCCTCCCCTCCTGAGGGCTGGGTTATCTTTTTTTTTTTTTTTTTGAAACAGCCCATCTACAAGCTGTGCTCAGCCCTGTGTTAAATTGCTGTAGCAGCCAGGTGGTGGTGGCCCACACCTTTAATCCCAGCACTCAGGAGGCAGAAGCAGGTAGATCTCTGCGAGTTTGAGGCCAGTCTGGTCTACAGAGCAAGTTCCAGGACAGGCTCCGAAGCTACAAAGGAACCCTGTCTTGAACTCCTCCCCCCCCCAAAAAAAAGCTGTTACAAATAAATTAGAATTCATGCTTTTATGTAGCTCCTGGAAGCATATATTATAAACACTTTCTAGGACTATACACTTATCTGTTTTTGTTTGCTTGTGTTTTGTTTGAAAGCTGTCCTGGAACTCACCCAGTAGACCAGGATAGCCTCATACTCACAGAGATCCACCTTCCTCTGCCTCCCAAGTGCTGGGATTAAAGGAGTGTGCCACCACTGCCAAGCTTAAGTATCTTTTTTTTTTTTTAAGCCCCTTTCCTACCTTATGATTACCCCATGGATGTGCTTACACATATATTCATAGTTACTGCCTGAGGTCTAGGAAGAATTTCACTTCCTTTGCTCCCAAAGCCTGGCAGTTCATTTAGAGTCCCTGGAATAAAGGATGGAAAATTTGGGTCACTCAGTGGGGTTTTCCCCCATGTCTGACATCAGGGCAGTAGGCACCCATTGTAGTCAGCCATGCTGACTTTAGCAGTTTCTTCTTTGCAAAAACATGTCCTGACTTCTCTGGGCCCATTTGTAGACTAGGTCTTCTATTGTGTTCTGTGACTACTTCAGCAAGACTGTAATGTGCTTTTGTAGAGCTTTAGCATCCTCTCATCTGAGGAGGAGGCTAGTGCCCACTCAATAGCTGGGTAGCACTGCTGGTTGCTTATCTCCTTTGGAAACTTACATGGCACCTTTTGGGACTGTGAATGTTAGTCCTCAGGGAGGGGTCTTTCAGATCAGACCCTCCAGGTCCTGAGTCTGAAGTACACAGTGTCTTTGGTAGTGGGGAACCATGGGCAACAGCAGTAGCCTATCATGTTTTAGTCTCCTACTCCCCCATATGTGTGTTAAGGTCCCTTAAGTTGACAGCTTGTCATTGGTCCTTCCTGTGGTTCTAGTGTTCTAGTATGTTTCCTAAAAACAAAGTCTCATGAACAATTCAGAATCAGGGAACCCACTAAATGAATGTAAATTACATTGATTAGCAATTTGATAGTTGACGTAGAAATGGTAGAGACTCATCTAATAATCTTTTGGTGCCCACAATCTGCACTCTAATGTTTGTGTATAATGATAGCATTTGCAAGTAATCTACAGACATCCTCTAGTATACTTTATTTTAGATTTCTCACAACACTTGCTATAATAGAAATACTACGTAACTATTAGTTTTTCTGCACTGTTATAGAATAACAAGAAAAGTATGTGACCCACTTTCTGTAACAAGGCCACACCCACTCTAACAAGACCACACCTAATAGTGCCAATCCCTTTGTGCTTCTCTTGGGTGGTGGTGGGGTATCAGAACTTCTCACAAGAAAAAAAAATACTGAAAATGAGTGAGCAGCATTTGCCAGCTACTCAAATTTGTTCTCTCCTACACCTGTCTCAATTCACAGCTCTTGACAAAGATAGCCCCAGGGTGTATGAATTCATCTTTCTTTTTCTTTTTCTTCTTCTTCTTCTTCTTCTTCTTCTTCCTCTTCCTCCTCTTCTTCTTCCTCTTCCTCTTCTTCCTCTTCTTCCTCTTCCTCTTCTTCCTCTTCTTCCTCTTCCCCTTCTTCCTCTTCTTCTTCCTCTTCTTCCTCTTCTTCTTCTCTTCTTCTTCTTCCTCTTCTTCTTCTTCTCCTTCTCCTCCTCCTCTTTCTGGAACCACTGTCACTTCACCCAGTCCATTAAAGTTAGCCGGTGTCCATCTGGTGAACTTAGTTTTCAGCATTATGATGACTGTCCTGGGTATTTGCCTTCTGTATAAATTTTAGAATGCTTTCCCCCCAGAGTTTAAACTTTTAAAATTAATTTTAGTGTGTGTGTGTGTGTGTGAATGTGTGTGCGCGCGCATGTGTACATACATACATGGGGTTGTGTGTGCGCACTATAATATGCTTGTGGAGGTCAGAGGACAACTTGTGGGAGTTGGTTCTCTCCTCCTGCCTTGTGGGTCCCGAGGAGGGAACCAACACTGTCAGTCGTGCCCAAAAGTGTCCTTATCCTCTGTAGGGAGCAGTAACCTCCGAGCTCTTTCTGCAGCTCTAACAGTATTGCTTGCTAATCAGAACTCAATGCCCTGGTTATGTGGTTTTGTTTTTGTTGGCTCCAACTAGAGAAGAGGGAACGTCAGTTGTGAAATGCCCCCATCGGATTGGCTTGTGGGGAAGTTTCTTGACTGATGATTGACGTGCAAGGGCCCAGCCCACTGGGGGAGGTGTTATCCCTGTAAACGCCTGCCACTTTCATGTCACATGTGCTGTAATGCCCCTCCTCCATTAAGGCCTCATTCCCTTCAGAGGCCCCTTTCTAGCTTCCTGACCTCCGCAAACACCCCAAGGGAAGTGAAGGGCAAAGAGCTAGGCTAGTATACTAAAGAGGACGTGTGGCATTTGTCCTTCCGGGTCAGTATAACTCCTCTCAGTTCCATCCATCTCCCTGTGAACTTCCTTTTTCTTTACAGCTGGACAAAATACCACTGTGTTTATTCGTCAGTTTCAATGTCCACTCTTCAGCTAATGGGTATCTAGGCCGATTCCATTTCCTAGCTATTGGGATAGAGCAGCCTTGGTCATAGATGAGCAAGTATCTCTGTGGTAGAATATGGGGCTCTCTGGATGTATGCTGGGACATGTGAGAAACCTCCACACTGATTTCCATAGTGGCTGTACCAGTTTATACTCCCACCAACAGTGACTTGGTGTTTTCCTTTCCCTGCATCCTCATTATCACTTGTCATTTTTTTTATTTTAAAGATTTATTTATTATTATACAGTACTGCATGTCTGCCTGCAGGCCAGAAGAGGGCACCAGATCTCATTATAGATGGTTTTGAGCCACCACCATGTGGTGCTAGGAATTGAACTCAGGTCCTCTGGAAGAGCAGCCAGTGTTCTTAACCTCTGAGCCATCTCTCCAGCCTTGCCATTTGTTTTCTTGATTATACCCATTCTGACTGTGGTGAGCTGAAATGTGAAAGTATTAAATTTGCATATCCTTGATGGCTTCAAAGTATTTATTGGCCATTTGTCTTTTTCCTTTGGAGAACTCTCCGTCCAGTTCCTTAGCCCATGTTTTTGATTGGGTTGTTTGTTTTCTTTTTGTTTAGTTCTCTGTGCTATCTATCAACTTTTATTTCAGGAGCTGTTGTCATTCAAGGATGTGTCCACTGATTTCTCTCCTGAGGAGCAGGAATGCCTAGACCCTGCTCAGTGGAATTTATATAGAAATGTGATGTTGGAAAATTACAGAAACCTTGTCTCCCTGGGTGAGGATCTTTTGTCTACAGAATTCTTAACTCCCTTCAACATCTGATTTCCCTTCTCTGTAGACTGTGTCTCAGGGGCTTCCATTTTGTATAAAGGCAGGTTGACATTCCTACACATAAGGGAAATATTTAGGGGTTTGATGGTCTGGAGATCATTTTAATTGTATTTGTGTTGAAATCTTCTTTCTTGAAGAAGGGCTCTCCTTCAGATGAGTGGTTCTCAACCAGGGGGTCTCGACCCCCCCCCTAGGCGCCACCTATCAGATACCCTGCACAATAGACATTTATAATTCTTAACAGCAGCAGAAATACGGTCATGAAGTAGCAATGAAATAATGTTATGGTAGGGGGTCCCCCACAACACAAGGAACTGTATTAAAGGGTCACAACAATAGAAAGGGTGAGAACCACTGCTCTAGTTGAGTAGTGACTTCAGAAACTTGCTGGCATGAAACGCTGTGGCTGTTTCTTAAAGCCCGTCTGCTTTGAGTTAGTCATGTGTGTAAGTGAAGCTTAGCATCTCCAAGTGAAAATCCTTCCCTCCTCTTCCTCTTCTCCTTCTCCTCTTCTTCTCTTTCTCCTCCTTGTCCTCCTCCTCTTCTTCTTCCTCTTCTTCTTTTTCTTTTTGGTTGTTTGGTTTTTCTTTATGTAGCCCTGACTGTCCTGGAACTCACTCTGTAAGACCAGGCTGGCCTTGAACTTGGAGATTTGCCTGCCTCTGCTGGGATTAAATAAATAGAAGGCATATTCTAATGTGTATGGCAGGGAATAATCAGAAGCCATTTCCTCAAACCTCCTTTTATATCTCTTCTTTTCTCTCAGGGCAGCATGGTCAGAGAAATGTTATCACTTACTAGAGACTCTTAACCAAACATGGTTCTCTATTTTGCAATAAACAGGCCTTGCTGTGTGTAAACTCTACCTGGTCTCATTGCTGGAGCAGAGACAGGCGCCTTGGAATGTGAAGAGACAAGAATCAGGAACCATGTACCCAGGTAGGTAGGAATGACACGAGAAGACAGACACATGAGAAACCACGCTTTCAGATGGGGACTGGGAAGTTTTCAGGAGACCCTAGAGCTGAGTTTACAGATTATTTTGAGTTGCCTGCCATGTGGTTGCTGGGAACTGAACCTGGGTCCTCTGGAAAAGCTACACATGTTCCAAACTGTTGAGCCATCTCTCTAGACCCAGTACAGGTTATACTTTGTAACCTTTAAATATACAAATAACAAATTAAAACAATAATAATGTAAAACCTATCAGCTACTCCTATTTCTGTGGACTGGGACCATCCTGACACTAACTGCATCACTGAACTATGTAGAGTTCATTAGAGTCCTTCAAATAGATTTTTGTTTTATGCTTTCTGTAGGGTTTCATTTTTATATTTCCTGTTAGAAATGTTTGCTCATATTTCTGCTTAGGACTCCTTGGGCTTGGGCTGGAGGGGGCAGTCTGTGGTTGAGAGTGAGTCCTGCTTGTGAGAAGACCCAAATTTTGTTCTCAATGTTCATGTTGGGTGGTTCACAATTTCCCATAATCCAGGGCTCCGTTGCTCCCGTCTGGCCTCTGCAGGCACTGCACTCAACATGTAAATACCTGTACACAACAAACACATGCATACATTAAAAAAAAATCTTGCCGGGCATTGGTGGCGTACGCCTTTGATCCCAGCACTTCAGAGGCAGAGACAGGCAGATCTCTGTGAGTTTGAGGCCAGCCTGGTCTACAGAGCGAGTTCCAGGACAGGCTCCAAAGCAATACAGAGAAACCCTGTCTCAAAAACCAAAAACCAAACCAAAACAAAACAAAAAAAATCATTAAAAAAATATTTTATAGTCTCTTCTCTGGTTGACTATCTGAAGTAATACGATCTTGTTGATACTGAAATGACTATTTAGGTTTAGGGTTAGTCTTTCCATTCTGACCTACTGTCCAAGTATATCTGTTATCTCTTCCTCTGTGGCGCAGGATGTACTGACATTCCCTATCAGGGAGCCTTCAGACAATTCACAAATATATTCATTTGTTCGTCTTCTTTTCTCTCCCAAGAGAGCAGACAGACGTGGCAGGTTGTTTTTGTTTTGGGGTGTTGGTAGGGTGCTGTTTTCAGAAAAGAAGAGCTGTGATTGACGAGGGAAGTAACAGGCTTTTCAGTGGGTACGGCGGGGAAATGGAGAGGTCATTCTGTTTGCTGTTCTGCTGTCTGGAGGACATGTCTGCTGGCCATGGTATTGAGGTTAGATCCAGAAACAATTCACCTTAGTGTAGTAACTGAGGGGATTTGTTATGTTGATTTCTTGCAATTGTTTCTTCTCATTATACCCTAGGCTCTTGACAAAAGCAGGGCAACCCCCCCCCATTCCAAAATATGATAAAAAGATGCAGAAATTACGGCCTTGACAGTTTGTACTAAGGAAAGATAGAAATGTAGCAAGGCTTCAAATATCAATCAACCTTTACTTGACACCAAAATTTTCTCACCAAGCAAAACCCTCCAAATGTCAAAAATGTGACAGAGGCTTCAATAATATTTCAACAGGGTTTCTCTGTAGTTTTAGAGCCTGTACTGGAACTCTCTTTGTAGATCAGGCTGTCCTCGAACTCACAGAGATCCACCTGCCTCTGCTTCCCAAGTGCTGGGACTAAAGGCTTGCACCACCACTGCCAGGCTAATAGCTCAACTCTAGATCAACACCAGAGAGTTCATATAGGAGAGAAGCTCTATGAGCATCAGTGAATGTGAAGGCTAGAAAATATTGTACAGTCAGAATGTGGCAACCGTGTACAACCCATTGCCAACTGAGAGCAAGAGCATACAGCATCTCAGAAAAATCACTGTTAAGAAACTGTATGTTTGATTAAATGTCCACAGCATGTTTGGAAACATAACTTTCCTCTTAACTGAGAATTGGGTAATTCTTTGAATGCACCTGCTCCATGCTTTAATTAAGATCTTGAACCATTGAAATGTAGCTGGACTGAACTTTGAACCAAGCATTCCTTTGGAAAAGAGATTTGAGAGCGAAGAACAGATTTTAAAGAGGGTTGTCTTTTTGAAGGACTCATTATTCTGTCACCAGCAAATTTGTTTTCTCTGCACCAAAATATACAGCTTCAACATTCGTTGATGTTCTGGTTTGCTGTTGCTGTTTGTTTATTTTGAGACAAGGGTTCACTGTGTAGCCCAGGCTATCCCTGTAACTTGGTGTGGAGCACATGTTCACCTTGCACTTCCCGTGATCTTTCTACATGCTGAGCCTACAGGTGTGAACTTCTGCTCTCAGCTAACCACCGTCAATTCTTTCCTATGTCCAAATGCAGATACAGGTACTTAGAGAATCCAGTATATGTGTAATGGAAATAGGAAAATCACTAATGAGGCTTGGAAATAACGGTAATGAAATAGCTTTAGGCATGGTTGAAATTGTATGTCCTCTTTTCTCTCCAGAAAATCTTTGTGACAGTAATGACTCTGAAAAAGCCTTTGATCAACACACAAAACTTAGCATCCATCAATGTGCGCATAGCGAAGAGGAGCCATACAAACAGAAAGACCGTGGCAAAGCTCTCATTGACGATTCAGCTTCTGATCAGCATCACAGGATACACAAAGGAGATTTGCCCCACAAATGTAAAGATTGTGGTAAAGCCTTTAAATACCGCTCAATCCTCTACCAACACCACATAATTCATACTGCTGCGAGACCCTACAAATGCAAAGAATGTGACAAAGCCTTCAAGAGAAGAAGAAACCTTACACAGCACCAGCTGACCCATAAAAGAGAGAAGCCATACAAATGTCAGGAGTGTGGCAAAGCCTTTACTACGCATTCTACACTTACTCAGCACCAAACAATCCACACTGGAGAGAAACCCTACAAATGCAAAGAATGTGGCAGAGCCTTTAAATATAATTCAACCCTTACTCAGCACGAAGTCATTCATACTGAAGCAAAACCCTACGCATGTCTGGAATGTGGCAAAGCCTTCAAGAGAAGTCACACCCTTAGTCAACATCAGATCATCCATAAAGGAGAGAAACCATACAAGTGTAAAAGATGTGGGAAGGCCTTCAGTAAACACTCATCTCTTACTCAACACCAAGTAATTCACACCGGAGAGAAGCCCTATGAATGTAAGGAGTGTGGAAAAGCCTTCAGATACCAGTCAACCCTGACTCGACACCAAATACTTCACACTGGGGCGAAGCCCTACCAATGTCCAGAGTGTGGCAGAGCCTTCAATAACAGTTCAACCCTCACTCGACACCGGGTTATCCACACGGGACAGAAACCCTACAAATGCCAGGACTGTGGCAAAGCCTTTTACTGTTCCTCATTCTTGATCCAGCACATGAAAACTCATTTTGAAGAGGTTCCCTACAGATGCAAAGAGTGTGGCAAACCCTTCAGGCTTTCCTCACAGCTTATTCGACACCAGAGAATCCATACCGGAGAGGAACCTTACATATGTAAGGAGTGTGGCAAAACCTTCAAATACCACTCAAACCTGACTCGACACCAAATACTTCACACTGGGGCGAAGCCCTACCAATGTCCAGAGTGTGGCAGAGCCTTCAATAACAGTTCAACCCTCACGCGACACCGGGTAATCCACACGGGACAGAAACCCTACAAATGCCAGGACTGTGGCAAAGCCTTTTACTGTTCCTCTTACCTGATCCAGCACATGAAAACTCATTTTGAAGAGGTTCCCTACAGATGCAAAGAGTGTGGCAAACCTTTTAAGTGTTCGTCACAGCTTATCCGACACCAGAGGATCCACAGTGGAGAGAAGCCCTACATTTGTAAGGAGTGTGGCAAAGCCTTCAACTGCACTTCCTACCTTACTAAGCATCAGCGAATCCATACTGGGGAGAAACCCTATGTGTGTAAAGAGTGTGGCAGAGCCTTTAACTGTTCTTCCTATCTCTCTAAGCACCAGAGAATTCATACTGGAGACAGACTCTACGAATGTAAAGAGTGTGGCAAAGCCTATCACTTTTCCTCACAGCTTAACCGACACCAGAGGGCCCACACCGGAGAGAAGCCCTACATGTGTAAGGAGTGTGGCAAAGCCTTCAGCTGCTCTTCGTACCTTAATAAACACCAGAGGATCCATATTGTAGGGAAACCCTATGTATGCGAGGAGTGTGGCAAAGCTTTTAACTGTTCTTCATACCTTGCTAAGCACCAGAGACTTCATACTGGAGACAGGTTATACAAATGTAAAGAGTGTGGCAAAGCCTATCACTTTTCCTCACATCTTAACCGACACCAGAGGGTTCACACCAGAGAGAAGCCCTACATGTGTAAGGAGTGTGGCAAAGCCTTCGTTACGTCTTCCAGCCTGAAACGGCACCAGGACACGCATATGCAAGTGAAACCCAACAGTGGAGAGAATTTGCCCAAGCCTCGATAGTGAGGTATTTGTCACTGGATAGTTCATAGAGGAGAAAAAAAAAACCCTACACATGGAGTTCCAGGTTTTAACAACTGCTGAATCTTTTCTTCACACCAAAAGGTTCATACATGCAGGAGACACTACAAGTGTGAGAGACTCAGCAAAACCTTTAACAGGTGTGTAGCTGTTATCCCATTCTAACTGATCCACAGTGGAGAACAATGTACAGATGTGACAATATGGCCTGGCCTTTGATTACAGCTCTTATTGGACAGTAGCAAATCCACAGTGGAGAGCACTGTCCTATGTGTAGCCATCAGAAGAGTTAAAAAGTTAACAAAACTTTTACTAATACCTCAAATCTTTTCTTGAAGACAACCCATGGCTCAATAAACCTCAATGTACATAAAGAATAGTCACAGCACAGAACTCTTAGGACTATGTAGAATGTGGCCAAACTTTGAGCTTCTGCTTATCATTCATCAAGCCCTTGGGCTACTTTCTGAGAAGTTTTAAACTGTTTTCTCCAGAGAGCATAAAATGGATTTTGAAAAACCGTGTATATTACGTATAAGCTTTATTTTAGTACATACGTGGAGTGAATGGAGTGAAGGTTCTTGTCTCTCATATGTATTGCTTGACATGTTATTTTGTCACAAAGATTAGACCACCTTTCTGAAGTACATACAAAACAGATCTTAGTAATATTTTGTTGAGGAATAGTGAATGACTGGTAATACTTTTTTTTCCCCCAGTTTTTAGGAATTAGATGACTGGTAATTCTTTTCCTTCAAATAGATGTATAGATTTGAAGATTTTCTTTTCTTTCTTTCTTTTTTTTTTTTTTTTTTTTTTTTTTTTTTTTGGTTTGGTTTTTTGAGACAGGGTTTCTTCTCTGTATTGCTTTGGAGGCTGTCCTGGAACTCACTTTGTAGACCAGGCTGGTCTTGAACTCATAACAATCCACCTGTCTCTGCCTCCCAAGTGCTGGGATTAAAGGTGTGAGCCACCACCGCCCGGCTGAGGATTTTCTTGCAAGTGATATTTTATTACATCCTTTATGTAGTTACCAGGAATTATGAGGGATGTGAAAGTATAATAAAGTGTTCTAGCTTTCTGAATCTTAAGTTTTTAATAATTTTTTTATCATATGTTTTTAATCTACAAATCACCCCTTAGTTATACAAAGAACACAGAAACGGTATTCATTTGTGTTGACTGTGACATACAAATCACAATCTAGTGATAAACTTTAGGAATAGGACTACAGAAACTCCATGCTCCGTGGATAACAGTTAAGAGTAAAAGGAAATTATAGAAACCAAAAATACTTTTAAGGGAGTAGAAACCTTGATTTTTTTGGGGGTGGTGGTGGGTGGAAATAAAGACTATTTTGTCTAAATGTGACTCATCTTAAAATTTCATGATTCTTAGTTTAGAATAGTTACTTCCTGGTTCTACTTCTGTCAGTCAAGAAAGACATGCATGAGTTCAAGTTTATGACTTTGTTTCCGTAACCATTTGTTGGCCCTCCTCTGAGCCAACAACCAAAGCTTCAGGAGTGCAGCTGTGCCTGCTGGCAAACGCTTATCGCAGCTGGGTTTGTTGGCTGAGCCCTCATAGGAGAAGTGTGATCCTGGGACCCTCATCTAAGTTGACTGCACTCTATATTGTCTGTTGTATGCAGTTTTGCCCTAATTGCATGTGATCATGAGGAAGGGCTCAGACGTATAGGCAAGGGGGAATGGCGGAGAGGCTTCTTCTGTGTTGCTGTGTAAGTAAGTCCAATAAACTCATTGGTTCTCCAGAGTGACCTTAGATGAAATAATACCTCTGGTTGATTGTTGTTGGCTCTTTATGAGAAGGGATACTTTTGTTTTGTTTTCTTTTGGTGTTTTGGTTTTTCAAGACAGGGTTTCTCTGTGATATAGTCCTGGCTGTCCTGAAACTTACTCTGTAGTCCAGGCTGGCCTCAGACTCACAAAGATCCGCCTGCCCCTGCCTCCCTCTGGGAAGGGATTTTAGCAACACTGGTGTGTGTGTGTGTGTGTGTGTGTGTGTGTGTGTGTGTGTGTGTGTGTGTGTGTAGAGAATAACATTGTAGTGGCAAGATCTGGACAATGCTCAGGGTAGTGGGACACCTGGGGCAGGAGCTGTTAGTGGGGGAAGTTCCTGGATGGCAGTCTTCTTGGAGGTGGTATGGAGTGGCACCTGCCTGGTATGTGGGGTCCTCCCGGAGGGTGTGCTAAGGGTACAGAGACACTTTAAGAACAGATGAAGGATTAGAGTTGTGGTGTCTAGTCTATGTCAGCTTGACACAAGCCAGAGTCATCTGGGAAGAGGGAACCTAGGTCAGAAAATGCCCCCACCAAAGTGGCCTGTTTATGCCTTCTTGACTGGTGATTGGTGTGAGAGGAGCTAGCACAATGGGCAATGCCACACCTGGGATGGATGTCCTGTGTGCTATAAGAAAGCAGGTTGAGGGCTGGAGAGATGGCTCCGCAGTTAAGAGCACTGACTGCTCTTCCACCGGACATGGGTTCAGTTCCCAGCATCCATATGACAGCTTTTAACTGTCTGTAATTCCAAGATTGAACACCCTCACACAGACATACATGCAGGCAAAACAGCAAATGCACATGAAAAATACATTTTACAAAAGAAAGGTTGCATCAAGGCCAACCTAGTCTATAGACCGAGTTCAGGACAGTCAGGGCTACACAGAGAAACCTTATCTTGAAAAAATCAAAAACAGAAAAGAAAGAAAGGGAGAGGGAGGGAGGTTAAAAAAAAAAAAAAAAAGGAAGAAGGCAGGAAGGGGATTGCAAGTCAGTAAGCAGCTCCGCAGCACCCCTCCATGACCTCTGCATCAGTGCCTGTGTTGAGTTCCATCAATATGCATAAATGATTGTTGTCAACCTTTCTGGTAGATTTTAGGAAGTTGCTTTCTACTTCTGTTGCTGCTTTCAGTAAGTAATACACATGCATTATCTGTGTCAGCGGCTTTGAAGAGTACATAACTTAAAATGCTATGCATTTAGCTTGTATTGTAGAAGTTGATTATATGGGAAATCCAAGGCAAGCAAGCAAGGTTGATTGTTACATTTTTTTTTTTTTTTTCTCTCGAAAGCAGGTTAAACAAACAGTTTCAGTGCACAGTAGGCTCGAAGTCTTAAGTAACTTCAAGGTGTATTATTAACTCTGGCTGTGAGGTCTAGAAAAGGTGCCAGTCTCAAAGAATGTAAGAGATATTTTCAGAAGATTGCATCAGCAGTCTGCAAAAGCAGTACCACATGGATGACACTGCCAAGCTCAGCTACCAGCTTGGGGTGGACTCTGCCACTCTGACTACAATCCCAGCAGCTTTTCTATGCTTGCTAGGGTCAGAAAATTTCTTATGCTCCTTCCTTTCACAGATTGGAATTTGGTTAGGTGGTGTCCCCAAGGGTCTGCTTCCTGTCTGATGCAGAGCAGATCATTTCTCTCCAGTGGTCCTAATGTCCCATCTTAGTTAGGGTTTTATTGCTGTGAAGAGACACCATGACCGTGACAGCTCTTATAAAGGAAAGCAGTTCATTGGGGCTGGCTTACAGTTCAGAGATTTAATCCGTTGTCATCAGGATGGGGAATATGGTGGCCTGCAGGCAGACATGGTGCTGGAGAAGGAGCTGAAAGTTTTGCATCTGCATCCACAGGCAGTAGGAAGAGAAAGTGAACCCCTGGAGCTTCTGAAGCCTCAAAGCCCACCCCCAACGACACACTTCCTCCAACAAGGCCACGCATACTCTAACAAGGCCACACCTCCTAATAGTGCCACTCCCTATGGGCCTATGGAGGCCATTTTCATTCTCCTGAGTGATTACTGCTTCTTTTAGCACCTGACTTCACTGTCCTTCAAAGCTTCCTCCTGCTCAGTTCCTACCCAAGCTGCACGTTTTGTGTTTACTTTTCTCCCCTTCCTCTTTTTCACTGTGGATTTGCACCAGAGTAATCAATAACGACCATACTTAGACTCAATATCATATGGTCCTGAAATTTCCTCTGCAAAAAGAATGAGTCCATTCCTGTCTAATGTGGCCTCACACAGGTCATCAGGGCATGGGCAGAGTGGTCAGATTCTTTGCCAAGATATCACACAAATGGTCCCCAGTCCCATTGTTAATAGAGTCGTTGTTCCCCTCTGCGAAGTCATGAGCTGGATCTCCACTGTCTGCACGTCTGTCTTCCAGGCTTCCACTAAAATAAACTGTTAGGTTCTTCAGACCCTGTTCAACTACTTTTCTAATCCAAAGTTCCGAAGTCCCCCACATTCCTTCAGACGAATCAAAACAAAAGCCCGAACAACAACAAGAACCGTGATCAGGTTCTGCTTAGCAATAAGATGGTGTCAACTCAGCTCGGTAATCTGACATCGGCACCTTGTGACAATCCAATGGAACTTTATCAGGCACAACAGAGTATTGTAGTTCTGTGACATCCCCAAGAGAATTGTCATGTGAGAGGAGCATTGTGGCATTAAAATTTGGCATTATGTCACACCACCCACGGAACATTGCGATGCTGGAACTCACTCAGTACATGACAGTGGGGCATTGTAACAGTGGGAATTTGACATGACAGTGGAAAACTGTCGAGTCACAAAGCAATCCTGTGATGTCACAGGAACCACGTAATGTCACAATGCATCTTTGTGGTGTCACAATTCAGAATTTTTGCTATCGTTCAGTATCATCATGACAATCACTGTGAGGACACAATTCAGTTTTGTCATGGAAACAAAGCCTACTAACGGCACAATGGGATAGTGCAATGTCACAATCTAGCAACACCGCGAGGCTAAATTTCAACGTTTTCTTTTTCATGGTGAAATGGGCCAGTGTGGGGCCACAGTCGGGAATGATGATGTCATAGCGCAGCATCGGTGTGTCTGTCATACGACAGCAGCTATGTCACAGTGGAGTACTCCGTTATCACTTCACAAAACAGCAGTGTGACAGCACAAGGCAGGGGAGAAAAAGAAGGGCACAAAGAGGCCGCGGGGCCATGAGGGCAGGTTTGCTTTGACCCTGAGAGCACACACTTCTCTTTCAGGCTGGGGATTTTATCGGGGCCGGAGAGTGGACTGATCAAAAGGTCTAGTTTAGCCAGGCAGTGTTAATAATTAAATAGGACATGCAGGAATGGTATTGGCAGTAT